GCCAATATACTTGAAACAGCTACGCTCTGAATCTTAAATGCTTATGAATGAGACAGGAGAGCGCAAGCGGCATAGTTTGATGCGAAAATCCAAAGTGAATAACAGCGTAGATACTAATGCTCACACTGGTTTTCTTTTTTGACAAGTTAAGAACATCATCTTCTGGTTTTTTGGCTGCGGCGTTACTGTCAGCAGATGCCCCGAGACGATGACCAGCATTGGTGAGCATTGCTGATAGATTTGGAATGCCGAACGGAAACGGTACAGCAAACGAACATTGTTCCAGCTGCTGCAGAAACGACTGGTGCATTAGCGCCAGCATGCGTTCTACAAATGTACACACAGTTAAATGGCAAACTGCAGATGAAAATACCAAACCTCTACTATCCGGATCCACCGTCGCAAGCTCCGGTTCATCGCGCTGTGTGCCCTTCCGCAAACGGACGTTACTTTTGCGTCCCTTGTTCATGCCGCGCTTCGGATAAGATACAACGTCCGCGAAAGCCACTGGATTGTGCACGTTTCTATTCAGATCACAATAATGATTGGTGACAACATCATCCGCTGAAACCGGGGTATTGGACGCGACCGGTGTGTCGGGAGTCGTTGAATTTCTATCGATTTCAGGCAGTACGACTGTCCTAAAGAAACTACTGTTTCTCAGGCAAGTCAATAACAACAAGCAATAACTAAACACATTCGATAAGGAAGTAAATTATCAAAAATACAAAACAACAACAGTTATTAATAATGCTCTGCATAATTAGTGTTCATAGCACCTTTTGTCACACAAGCATTTCTCGTCCCTCAATACAAAACACACGAAAGCTCAAACAGAGCCGAATAACTACAACAGAAAAGACTTAAAATAACTGCCTCAAGTAACCGAAATAAAGTCAGTTATATTCCAGATGACAAGTGTAGATGGCTAAGGAGATTAATTACAATGATAAATACTAAGAAAATATTCTTTATCTGGATTCTATGCCACAACAAGAATAATCCACAACTATATAGAAAAAACGTGAGCGATGTCTTGCACTTTTTGTACCTAAACAAATCAGGGATA